TCAAAAACCCTAACCTCAGAGAACGGGGTGGGGGGGGCACTCACCAATCAGTCATGTCCTCAGTGAACTGAATGAAGAATCATCACAAAGTCAGTGTTAGGAAATTCAGGTAGACGGGCAAGTCTCTTTGACTAAAAGTAGACAATAAGAAGACAAGGCTTACTTTATGAACTGCTTCCGATTAGATGCCGGGCATGTTTCTAAGTACCAAATTTATATGAATTCATTGAGTCCTCCCAATGATCCCAGGAGGTAGGAACTATTCACATAGTCTTTTTATAGGCAGGGAAACTGGAGCACTGAGAGGTTAAGTAGGTACCTCAAGGTCATACAATTAATAGAAGGCGGAGCTGGGACTGGAAGCCAGGCAGGCTGGTCCCAGAGGGGGCCCGGGGACACCACTCCCTGCTCACCATTCTCTGTAGTCTCTTTGCTCACAACTCACCCACATGGGTTGTAAGAATAAGTTTCTAAACAAAAATGATCTCAGGAACAAATGGATATTTAAATGAACAGAAACCAAAAAGAAGGCAAGTCCATTTCAAAGGAAGAAAATATTGACCTGATAGTTTTCAAACTTTTTTGCTACCTACCACCTTACTTTGAACCCAGTGACTGTAACAGAAATTAGTGGAGCTGCTCTGGTTGAACCCAGGGGCGGGCACAAAAGCCACCAGCTTGCGCTGCCCCGTGACCTCTGCTTTTACCCCAGGCAGCCTCAAGGACTCGGGGACCCAGTTAAGAGTCAGGTCCTGCATCAGCTGCTGGTTGAAAAGAAAACTGGGGACGCTGGAACTGAGTCGCCTGTCCTCGTTAGCTGACTTGGTATCAAATGTTTCAGAGGGTTTTTAAAAAAATTTTTCAACAGTTTACAACATTTGAATTAGCAGCTCTCTGGTTTGATTATTCAAACATCTGATAATGAACTGTTTTGGTTTGAGGTTTGCCTCTCTCTCCATTTGATATAGTATCAGTGACCCCACTGAGCACAGAAGAATAGCTGAAAGGAAGAGTTAGGCTGAAAAGGGGAGGGAAAAGTCATGTGTGAGGCTGAGAATGTGGAGGAAGTTTTTGCATAGATAGATTTTGAAGCAAGTGGCTCTGACTTTGGAAATGAATGGCTTAGAGAGTGGTTCTCTTGTTTATTTGCTTTCTTTACTTTTCCCCTTTCAGTTCCTCCAAAGGACAGGAATTCAGGCTGTGTATTCTTCCTCAGTTCTGTTTTTTTTGTAAACATTATCTAAACAGTCCAAATACTCTTGTGTGAGCAGTCACCACACCTCCTGGGCTGTTTGGGTGTGATCTTTTTTGTACCTGGAGATCATATCACCTAAACTAGTAATTTCCAAAATATTTCTTTCCCAGGATGCCTGGACCACATGTCAGAGATTTCCTTTGCTACTTAAGTGAATCCACACAACCGCTACCAACATTTCTACCAAGATGTGGACATCTCCTAGCCATTTCAGCGTATGTATTTTATTTCGTTAGTACAACCAGGATCCAATTCTTCTCCATGTTACTCTCAAAGACATACTATTACTTCTACCTTCTAGGAATATGGTGAGGGAGGGAGGCAGTTAACATAAGAATAACGTCAAGCCAAGCAATTCTAGAATTGAACTGGATTCTTTCACTTACTTAGAGCCTCTTTGGGCAAGTAAGTTATTCAAACTCTTACTGCCTCTGGTTCCTCATTTGTAAATTGGGGATTAAATAATATCTATTTTGAGCTCTATTGAACCTTAGCAAAACAGATAAATTCATTCATATACAGACTTCTCCAACATAGAAAAAAAGACAAAGAACCACCCTACTCATTATGTGAGGCTTGTATAACTTGCTTTAAAAATTCCCAAAGGTAGCCAAAGAATGGGAAACTATAGGTCAGTCTTACTTGTGAAGATCAGATGAACAATTCCAAATAAAATGTCATCAAATCAAACCCAATGACGTTAAAAAAAAAAGTCACAACAACCTAGAAATGTAAAGATGTTTTTGAACCACTAGAAAAATGTCATGGTTAAACACAGCGAATTGAATGCATTCAGTTAACTCCGTTCTTTCCTGAAACCCCAGTGAAAGACAGTAAAGAAACAAACAAGGCGTGTGTATATATACCCACAAGGACAAGAGGAGAAGGAGAAAACCTCAGTCGGCAAGAGATGTCAGTGTTTTTTCAGCAGGTAAAACTGATTAAGGAAGGTCATTGACTCAGGAAAGGAGAGCAAGTGAAAATCTAAATGTCTGTGCAAGGAAATTTCAGTGAGAAGAAGAATTGTCTGCCACGGGATTTCCAAAAGGCCCACAAGTTAGTCACCAGGTTCTCAGAACGTAGGGTGAGGGAGGGACAGGCTCGATGCAGCACGGTGATGGGAAGCACATGAATGGAGAAGCTGGACCTCTAGGTTCCCTTCTCCATCCCAGCAAAAGACAAAAGATGTGTTTTCTGGAGTCATTAAAGCAGGCGAGTGCCTGACTCCAGTGTACCAGGGAGGACTGAGCCGTGATCATTTCCCAGGAGGGAGGGAAGGAAAGAGGGAGGGAGGGATGGAAGGAAGAGTGGGAAGAAAGGGGAGAAATTAATCATGGCCAGCATCTACTGAGTACATACCATGTGTCAGCCTCTGTTCTAAATGTTCTATTTGTATCAGTTCATTTGATCTTCAGAACCACCCACCAGATAGGAGAATAAGAGTCCAAAAGTAGCCAAGACAATTTTTTAGAAGAACAAAACAGCGAGACTTTTTCTACCACATATTAAAACATACTAAAAAGCTACAATAATTTAACAGTATGGCTTGGATGCTAAAATAGACATTTTAGGTTAGTGAAACAGAAGTATGTAGAAATTGACCTTCATGTATGAGAATGAAGGATATGATAAAAAAAAATGAAATTTCAAACCAGTAAGGGAAAAAGTAAACAACTCTATTGATGGTATTAAGACAATTGACTATATACACACTTGGAAGATACAAGATCCAGATGAATTAAGGACAAATCTAATATTTAAAATATGTTATAAGCTTGGACTAAGTAAGATCTTCTGAAATTAGACTTGCCTGAAAATACACTATATGTGTGACTTAGAGAATAGAATTCAGCACTCTGATATATTGTGTTTTGTTTTTAATCAATAGAATGGAGAAGATAATCATAGAATTACTGTGAAATTTACTCCAATCTGGCAGAGTATAAATCTCATTTGTTACATTTAACTTTGTGGTTTAGGAGTTGCATCCAATCCTGCATTCCCCCGTCCTCTGGAGGCACTGAAATTTTATTTTTCCTGCTGCCGTTACCGTATCTGAGTCTAATATGCAGAAATTCTCCCTGTATTAACTCCTCTATCTCAGCACCTCTAGAAGTGATGAGAAAATTTTCTCCTTGGGCATTTTTGACAAGTTCTGAACCTACTGACATGCCTGCTTGTGAACCTATGATTATATCTGCCTGTACAAAACCAGCAAACGATCAGTGAATTCCGGATAGTCTTTGATTTTCTCCTTTTGAGATCAGTTCCCATAAGTAGGAAATTATTGGTCTTATTTAACTTATGGGCCACTTTCAAGCATTGTCCCCACTCCTTTTGCAACAGGGAATGAATGCTTTCAGAGTGGAAGTAAAAACATTTTAAGGTCATTTTTTGTTGTTGTTGTCCTCTTGAGCATTAAGGAAGAAACATTGATTCAAACTGTTATATTGGTTGTGTGGCAGTTTTTTTCTCCCCTTCCCAGATGAGTGATGCTATGACAAAGTAACTCTAGGTCTGGATGAAGACTCCCGGTGGTGACAGAATCCTGTACAAACCAGCCCCAAGAAAATTCCTTTAAGGGAATGAATTGGCTTAAGGAGCTGGAAAGTTCGAGGCTGGATATAGCTTCATTCAGGGAAGGCCCGGCCCCACCTGATCCATACGGAACGAACTCCTCCCAGAAAGCGGCAGGGCCTTCCTGCCAGAATTAGCATTGGACTGGCCAAAGCCGCAGCTGTCCGCAGCGGTAAGCGAAGATGTTTCCTGGTTCAGCACATTGTGCATCTGGTCCCTCTGCTGGGGTCTTCTCCCTTAGGTTACTCTTTGGTGGAAGGGGCTGCAACATCACAGCAGTCTTGCTTGGTCATGAAGCCAACTGCTTGTAGGATACCTGCTTCCATTCCTTTAATGCATCTCTGCAGTGAGGCCAGAAAACAAGTTGCCTGCTCTTTTTTCCGTTCTGCCCCCATGTTATTCATTGTGATAATGTGGAACAATCCGTATTTTGTTCATTTTGTGTGTGTGTGTGTGTGTGTGTGAGGTTTAGTTGGGACAGGATGATGTCCCTTACATAAACATTGTCAAAAGGAACACACATGACCTCTAGTAGGATTTGAATGAAAAGTCTTCGAATCGTGGTTCTAGGTCTCATGGTCCTGGAACTACTGAAACTCCATCCAAGTCTGAAGGGCTAAGTGTAATAGTGCTTGAGCCATGTGTGTGTGGCCTGGTTAGAAATGCCCTTGACGCCGGATGAGAGATTGGACCAGCGCTGATAGGGAGTTGAGGAGAACTCTAACCTCTCTGGAAACCAGTCTAATTGGTCCCCACTGCAGGGCTGGAACTGGGGCTCGTTGGCACCACTGACCAATGCTCGGCCCACCGTGGGGCACCCGTGGCCCCCTCCACCCCAGGGAAGTCCAGGAGCATGGCTGTTTTCTCCAGTTCCATCTGCCTCAAAAGAGGTTTGGGCACCTTCCATGGTTTTTTTGTTCCAATATTAGCTTTGCTCACCCTCTCTCCACTCCTCCCACCCCCTCTCCACGCAGGCTGTCCTGCCAGCCATGAGGATGCTTTGTCTCAAGCACAGGGGCAGGGGAGTGGTTCTTGGTAACCATAGGCAACCATGAATCTGTACCAGCTATTTGCGCTGTATTTGTAAGGCACAGTCCAGCCGCTGGCTGGGTAGACGGGGAAACATGCTTTTTCTTGTACAGTAAAATATTGTCTCTTATTTTTTTAGAACGACCAGTCCATGGGTGAGATGCGGATAATTGGAGGCGATGCTCTTTCAACACTGGCTGGAAAGGTTTGTTAATGTAACTGCGCCATCCAGGCTCAGGCATCGACCCTGCGGGGAAATCAGTGACCTTCATTTCAGGTCGGCACTGCAGTCCGTCTCGGACACTCTCCCGGGTTTGCTAATTCATGCAAATGGATGTGTGAATCCTTTTAACGATTTCTGTTTTTATAAAACACTCCTTCTGTCATGTTTCCAAGACATGATGTGAACCAAATCTTTCCTCTCCAAGCTTTCTTCCAATCTTGTTTCAGACAACCTGGTATTACAAAACCCCTTAGCTTTCCTCTCCTCTCTCTCTTTTTTCTACTCACCCTTTCACGTACCTCCTGAAAGGGAAGCTTTATCCCTAATTTGCCTACTTTTCCCTCTCATCAGTGCCTCGGCGCCTAAGCACATCAATCAGTCATTTAAACAGGTTTGGTGAAATGTTTACAACTTAGGCCAGGAATAAAAAAGGATTGCTGGAGATTTTTTTCATTTTCAGCACTCTGCCTTCTTTCCCCCTCTTTAAAAAGAATGGAGCCCATGAAATTATGAGGCCGACACCTCCCAGGTTAACTTGGAGTTCCAAGCCTGCCAGTGCTGAATAATGAAGTGGAAAACTGTTTGGATCCCGACATAAATCCATGCCTTGGAAGGAAGAGCTGTTTCATCAAGCAGATGGTCTTTGTGGAAATGTGACCTGAAATGCAAGTTTTGCTGTGAATGAAAGCAGCACGGAATTTGTTTTTGTTCAGCCCTGCTGACGTATCATGTATTTATTATCCACGAACAACTCCAGCTTTCTAAGTAAAACGGCTCAATCTATTACCCAAGCTTAATCTCTCATATTTGCTGTTGTTATTGTTATGCAATTCCCCCACCAGGACAACGAAGAGGAGCCACGTGTAATAAAAATATGTGTAATAACATCGGGAACCCCGCAGAGCCACAAGGACTGACTACAAAACCGCACACTTCCCTGTCCTCTCCTCCAAAAATAGCACAGTAGCATCCAAGCGTTAAACTGCTATCTAGTAAGAAACTACGTCCCACAGAAATTGGAATTAACTTGTCAATGTTAATGTATGTATTACATCCATGCAGAAAGTAACATCCTAGAAAGATAAAATGTTCAGAGCAATTTCCAGAAATTCCTAACTTTTTAACAACCCTGGAGTGGTCTTTAAATGATGAGTCATTTTAGTACTTTGTTGTACAACGTTGCCTCGTAAGTTGATTCCACAAGAGAAATATCATCCCTTGTGCATTTGCCACGGAATCTGTCAAAGTGGCACCTCTTAAGGAATCCCAAAGGAATGCCAAGAAAAAAATTTGCACAGAAAAAGTGTGATCTTTCTCCCGTGCCTTCTAAAATCGTCTTCTCTTTTGTTTTAAAGTGGTGTTCCCTCTTAAGCAAGCACTGGAAACTCCATTCCCTTGAGAAAGAGGGGAGGTTGAGCAAAGGGTGGTTTCTTACGGGGATGGGTGAGCAGAAGGGGTGACAAGGATGTGCTTCAGTCTCCCCTCCTACAACTGCTGCAAGGACCACATCCCCCCCCGCCACCATGAGAAAGTAGAAGTCAGGAGAGACGGAAAGCCAGCCAGCAGTTAGTCCCAGCCGGAGTCAGCTTCAGTTTCTTGCTAGCACGACAAAATGATTCTTCCAGCTTGGCAGGTGCTATCACGTGGTACCTTTCCACTCCCCATGGGTGCACAGGTGCGTTTCTATATACATCCAAACATGTGCCAAGTAGAACCCCTTGGGCCTCTTGGGTAAATATTTCTTAAGATGAATCAGTGTTGATTAGCCAGGTTCTCAACTGTCACGACAGCTTAAGATTCTGCAGCTCAGGGCGCCTGGGCTCCCATCAGAAGGGGGTGCTTAATGCCCCAGTCTGGAATCTGCCCGCGTCTCTCCGTCTCTATGGTGACCATCCAAGTCCATCTCTCCATCTCTATGGTGACCATCCAAGTCCAGAGCTTGCTACTCAAAGTGTGGTCTAGGGCAGGTGTCAGATAAACCTTCCAGGGAAGGGCCAGACAGGAAATATTTTTAGGTTTTGTGGCCCATACACAGATACTTAACTCTGCCATCATAGGATGAAAGCAGCCAGCTGCCATAGATGAAATGGAAACACATGGACATGACTGTGTTTCAATAAAACTTTATTTACAAAAACAGGCAGCGGGCCCAATTTGGCCAGTGGGCTGCAGTTCACTGACCTTTGGTCTGGGAATCAGCGAAGTCAGCACCACCTGGAGGCTTATTAGAAATGAAGTATCTCGGGTCCCACCCCAGACCTGCTGAATTAAGTCTTCACTTTAACAAGGTCCCTGGATGATTCGCACACACATTAAAGTTTAAAAAGACTGGTCTTCTAGGGTGAGACCACCACTCTCCGTCTTCTGGGTGCTGCGATAGCCTAACTCCTTTGCCTGAACTCCCACCTTCACTCAACTCCTGCCACCCTCCAAACCACTCTCCAAGAAGCCGTCAAAGGGATCTGCTTAAAATACAAACTGGATCACGTCACTTGCCTGCTGAAACCTTTCAGCGGCTTGTCACTTAAGGTTGTCAGACTTAGTAAAAAAGACAAAACGGAAAACAGGAGGCCAAGTTAAATTTGAATTTCAAAGGAACAATGAATACATTTTTTTTTAGTATAAGCAAGTCCCATGCAATATTTGGAGCACACTTAAGCTGTAAAGTTGTTCTTTATCTGAAATTCAAATGCATCTGGATGTCTGTATTTTACCTGGCAAGCCAACACTCTGAGACTCCAGTCCAGCCTCCTCGGGACAGCCCGAAAGACGCGAGAGACCCAGCCCTGCCTCCCTCCCAACTTCACTGCACACCATTCGTTCCCCCCACCTCCCAGTGCTGTCACCACCCCAGCTAAGCTCCTTCCTGCCAAGACCTTGGGCAGGCTGTGGCCTCTACCTGGAATCCACTTTCTTCCCATCCTTCAGATTTCAGCCTAGTCTCGCATGTCAGGGAGGCCTTCCTGACTCTGTCTGCAAGGAGCACATCTCCCCTGCACACGACCCCCACCCCATTCTCCATTCATCTGCCACCATCCTGTTTCCACTGAAGCCCTTTCCACAATTTCCTGGGTTTACTCTGTGGACTGTTTTTTATTCACCTGTTTCCCCTACAAGCATGTCCATGTGATGTGTGCACGGTGCCTCATCTATGACAGGTCAGAATAGGTATTTGGTGGCTGAGTGAGTACAGGCTCTTCTTTCTCTTAGATGGAGATCAGAAAGATATATTCATTAATTTTGGGAATGGGAGGACATGTCAGAGAAGGATGAACAGAAGCCCACCAGGTCACGTTGAAGGACAGTCAACCCACTGGTTTGGGTGGGGATCGGATGAGTGGTGTAGAGTAGGGGACGTTCTCTTTGTAGAAGCAGAAGGGCTTCGGTGTCACAAGAGATTCAAGGAGAGACTGACTCGGTGGATGCCACACACCTGAGAGTGGAGAAGCGGAAAAAACTTCACTTATCTTCTGGAATTTTCTTTCCCCTAAACAAATAAACGCATTCATATGCCCTGCTGTGCTCACCTCTTCTTCAGCCTTTCAGAAAGAAAATCTATCCATTAAGAATTCAAGAGATCTTTCAAAGCAAATTTCAGAGGCCCTCTGGGGTCTTCCCATCATGTAGAATGTACACCAGCTGGGAAAAAACTTAAAAGGAAAAGGCACCCCACAATTAGGGGGCCCTTTTTTTAGTGGTGGTAGGAGGCAGTCTGAAACTTCCATAAATACCTGCATTGGATGGAGCATGCACTGGGTAAATACCTACATTGGAAGGGTTGTTACGGGTCATCGAACTTCTCCCTTCTCATAGAGGAATCACACGATTTCTCAATCAACCAATGTCCATTGAAGTTGCCTTTATCATTAAATTCTTAACTCGGCCGTGAACTTGTATATTCCTGCTCAGCACCCTGAGAACTTTAGGGATCTTTCCACTTAAGACTTTTTCCTTGAGCTTAAGGAAATCCAAAGAAGGAGGGTTGCCTTGGGACTGTAATTGCCTTAGAGAAGAGAGGGTGAGGTTTTACTTGGGACCAGTAGGTCTGGGAACAGCACAGAAGAGGGAGCAAGAACAGTGGAATTGGGGACACAGCAGAGCAGGGGACAGGAGTGCCCAGTGTCCCAAATTCGGCAACAGAAAAACACAGATGTGCAAGCTAAGTGCAAGATTTCTTTCTTCCTTTCTTTCTTTCTTCCTTTCTTCCTTTTTTCTTTTCTCTTCTTTTCTTTCCTTCCTCCCTCCCTCCCCTTTTTTTTTTAAAGCAAAAAGAAGAAAGCTCACAAGAAAGGCTGGCTGAGTCATGGTTCTAAATAGGTCACGACTGTTGAATAAAAGGAGCGCTCAGTGCTTCAGTGCAATGGCCCCCTCAGCTCACAGTGTAAAACGCGGTCGGTGTGTTTAAGCTGTCTGCACAGGGCGCTCTCTGGCTGATTTTTTTCAAAGTTGATTTAATCCTGGCACTTCATAAAATGTGTGTAGCCATTAAGGCAAGACGATTTTATTCATGTTCAAGAGAAAATCTCTGAAAGGGAGGACTAAAACCAAATGCATGGAAACAGGCCCAAATCCGGCAGCAGAAAAACACAGATGTGCAGGTTAAGAGCAAGATTTCAGGAGCCATGCCACCCACCCCCTACCCCGCACCCCAAATAAGTTTCTAATCACGTGCCAGAGTGGAGCACCGGAACCTGCCAAAATCTCCTCCTTGGCTGCCTGAACTGTTTAAATCATTCCTTTTTATTGCATCTGACTAGCTGAGAACAATCATGGAAATGCCCACCGACTGATGATTCTGGCGGTTCTGTGAATTGTCACATAAAGTGAGATGCTGGACCGCATGCCTTTCTCTGGAGGGTTTACATCCTCACTCCCACTCATGCTCAGCATCCATGATCAGCTCATCATCACCCCTGCCATCTCTCTGCTCAGCGTGACCACAGCCACAAAAATACATCACCAAAGATTAGACTGTGGTGTGC